ATAGTCAAAAAGAATATGGGTTGGATGGAATAAAACTCTTAGAAAGTAGACTTATCAAAAAAGCTCCCTTTCCCCCCTAATGCCGTGTTTGGTTGGGGGATTTGGAGAGGGATTTGGAAAGGGAAATGGAAAAGGTAGGTGAAATGTGAATAAAACATGCCTATATTTCACCTAGTTTCACACACCTTTTCCCTTTCTCTGTCCAAATCTGAACTCAAATCCCCCAACCAAACACGGCATAAGAGTTTGTATGATGTGTAAATAAATTTTTTCATATTTTTTTTTACTTTTTTCCTCCAATTGTTGGATAAAAAGGCATCTTATTTTTAAAAAATAGCATGAAGTTCTTTTGAACAATTCAAAACATATCCAATTAATTTAATTTTTTTTATGGATGATATACTCGACAAACCTTACAATATGAACGTTTGATTTGTTTAATCTTCTACTCTATTCAATTCTGAGAAGAAAAATCTTATTTTGGGATAATAATCTCAAATAATACTTAATTAATTGAAATAAAGGCCGAATATCATTAAATTTAGTGAAATAGAACGAAATTATTAATTTTTAAAATTTTATATCCGAATACCATTTGTAATGTGTATTGAGAGTTTGTACAGTGTGCAAATATAATTACCCAAAAATGATACCTCTACGAAAACTTATTTTTCCAAGATAACCCTCAAAACTCCACACAAAAATAAATAAATAAAATACACACACACAAAAAAAAGAAAGAAAAAAAAAGGCAAAATGGAGAATTAAAAAACAAACCAAGGACAAAATAGAAAATTCAAAACCCTTACATAATTGACCCAAAAACCTCATATAGTTTCTAAAAACCCTTCAGTCAAGGTCATTCCATCAACTAATAAAGGATAAAAGGAAATAGAAATACAAGGTAAGGGCAAAATAGAAAAAAAAGGTATATGCCACTAAAATGAAAGAGATTCTTAACTTGAAAATCATCATTTAGTTTTTAGTGCTTAATTTTCAATTTTATTAAATATCACTTTAATTATATCAAAATTAGTAAATAGTTGACATGTTTGAACTTTTTTTAAAAAAAATTTTGACTTCTTAATAATTTTTTCACTTATACTTTATCAATAGAATGATGATGTGAGATACAAGGGGTAATTTTAAACCAGTGTATATGTAAACAAATATTTACAAATTAATGGTGAATATTACAAAAATTTAAAAGTAAAATTATAAATTTTTCATCTATTTGTAATTAATTTTTGTAAACTGTGATGAAAATTTCCCAAAATATAATTATCATTAGCAATATTATAATTTAAATCCCTTAAGCCTGTCTTCTACCGATTTCGGAATCAATTACCTAATGTCAGTTTAATCGCGGGAGGACGAGGGGCAAACCTTGGGTGTATGCACCGACTCCACAATACATACACCATTTAAGTCAGAGAGTGTAGTTGTCAGGATTCGACTCCACACCCAAGTCTTGTATACGGTTCGACCAACACTTAGAGGGCCGTTCTAAAATCACTGCTCCAACCCTCAGAAAATTAATCCTAAGAAATATAAACTCTGAGATTTCAGGACTTAGAGCATCCACAATGGGATAACTAAAAAGTGTGTTAAAGTGTGTGCTAAAGTGTACATATGGCAAAAGTGGGTTCCATGTAGTGTGTAAAATAATTGGCTAAACACAACGGATTAGGGTGTTACCGGTTGTCCCCCAGACGTCTGGCTGGTCAACTGTAATTTTTTTTTTTACTTGTTAGGTTTTTTTTTTAAACATTAATGTTTAAAGTTTTTTTTTTAATTTTTGATTTTTTTGATTTTTTTTATTACTTCTGGGTTGTTGTTGAAAAATAATCAGCATGCTTGGTTATCATTTTTCAAAAACACTTTTCAGAAAATTCTACTTTTTTATTTTCCGTGTTTTTTTGTTTTTACTGAATTTTTTTAATATTTTGAGCAATTTTTTTAATTTTTAGACATACCTAACATAAATACACCTAAAAAGCAAAAAATTTTTGAAAAAAACTTTTTAAAAATTCACTAAATACCAAAAATATAAAAAAAACCAGAATTCAGTACATTTTTTATATTTTTATGTATTTATTAATTTTTAAAAATATTTTTTCACAAATTTTTTACTTTTTAGATACATCTAAGTAAGGTGTATCTAAAAAAGTAAAAAAAATGTTTAAAATTTTAAAAATATTCACTAAAAACAAAAAAAAAAACAAAAACTAAAAAATTCAATTTTCAAAAAATTTAATTCAAAAAACTCAAACTAAACACAATATTTTATTTTTTGAGTCCCATCATGACTGGCTAAATGGCTGAAGTTAAAACAAATGTTAACAGTTGACACAAAATGGTTGCACTAATGAACACTTTGGCTACTCCATTGCATGAACAAAATTGAATTCAACTGGCCAAACATTTAGCATCTGACACTAGTGGGGGGTTAGAAAAATGCTTGGGAGCACTAATTAGTGCTTCTACTAATTAGGTGACAGTGGATTCTGCCATTAATGATGTGATGTTTTGGTCTTGGAGTTGTATTTTTTTTTTTTTTACTTTTTTAATGCATTAATACTATTAGTGGTGATGTTTTTAGTGGGATGAATCATTGTTGGGTTAGAATAACACCTTATGTCCTAAAATCTTACAAAGTGTCAGAACTCCTAAATTCCAAGATTTTGCCTCGACAAAAGACCAAGTTGCAAAGACGAAGATGTGGGAGTGATTTAAGAAGTTAGTTAAAAATTAATTTTTAATTTTTTTGTGTAAAAAATATGAAAAATAATATGACAAAAATAAGTCAAAAGTTAAAAGCTAATTTTTAACTGGCTTTCCAAATCACCCCTTAAATTAAGGTGATGCATTGGACAACTGTATAGTTGTGCAATGGTTGACACTGGTTTTAAATTTTATTTTAATAATTTAAATGGTTTATTTTTTAAAATATATAAAATATAATGTATTCATAAAAAATTAAGTTAATTAAATATCGATAATTTTTTTTATCATTTGTATCTAAAAAAATAAATAATAAATATAATTTTAAAAATAAAACAAAATACAAATATAATTTAATTAAAAAACTATCAACATTCGATCAATTTAATTTTTTATAAATATATTATGCTCAATATATTTAAAAAATAAATAATTTAAATTATCAAAATAAAATTCAAAATGTACCCAAACAACTACACAACAGGACAACAACTGCAGTACGGAGTTCACACCAACCTGAAGAAAGTAGAGAGAGAGATACAGAGAGAAAGAAACTTCAAAAGATATTATTTACACTGGACTATTTCACTTTGGATACATTGCTGTACGGAGTTTACATCAACCGAAGAAAGTAGAGAGAGAGAGATACAGAAAGAGAGAAACCTCAAAAATATTCACACTAGACTATCTCACTATGGATACAACTGAAGAAAGTAGAGAGAGATATAGAGAGAAAGAAACTTCAAAAGATATTATTTACACTGGACTATTTCACTTTGGATACATTGCTGTACGGAGTTTACATCAACCGAAGAAAGTAGAGAGAGAGAGATACAGAAAGAGAGAAACTTCAAAAATATTCACACTAGACTATTGTAAACATAAATTTCAGAACATAAACCTTACACTTTGGATCATTTACCATGTGTATTATCAAGAAATCAAGACAAAATGACATACCTGAATCCATTGATGAACGGTTAAACGGAAGCGTGATTATCAATGAACTCTTTATTATTGATTATGTTATTGCCTTCTAATCGTTTTACCCCTTTATGTACAGTGTTCTGAACTTATGTTCCGTAGTATTGGCTGTTGTTATATCTTGTTGTTATCCTTTAATTCCTTATGATATTTTAGTATAGCGATCCCGGGTTTTACCCCTTTATGTACAGTGTTCTGAACTTATGTTCCGTAGTATTGGCTGTTGTTATATCTTGTTGTTATCCTTTAATTCCTTATGATATTTTAGTATAGCGATCCCGGGTTTTACCCCTTTATATCTTGTTGTTACCCCTTTATATCTTGTTGTTATCTTGTTGTCATTCAATTTTTTGAGTTAGTTTCACAAACAAAAAACAAAAAGAAAAAAGAGAAGTAATTATTATATATATACACATAGTTTACTATATTATCATATGAACTAATATATGACAAATTAAAATTATGAAACCCTTAGAAAATAATAATATATTTATATTTTATCATAGGTGCAATTTTTGTTTCTAAAAATAAAAATAAAAATAGTTTAATTTTATAATTTACCATATTTTTTATTTAATTTTTATGAATAACATTATGATTCATGTATTTGTTATTTAGAAGAAGAAAAAAAAAACATAAGTGAAATTGTGATAAAAATAGTTGAAATCTAATTAATTTTATTCTTTTGGGTATTTTAATTTTTTTACTATTTAATTTTAAAATTAATTGTTATTTATTTGAAACCATGCATAGTACGAGTATTACACTAATTTTAGTTATGATTTAAAATAATATTTTATGTGATATTGATTATGACCAACTACATTGTTTAACACAAGATTTATAGTATTGTTTTGGTTATGATACGACATGGTATTGATAATGATATTTTATGTTATGACTAAAAACAATATTGATTAGGAGAAAGTTATTTTTTTGGACTATTTATTTTATTAAGACCACATCAAATATAACTCAACGTACAATGCACATTGTTTTGGGGATGTGTAATGTGACAATGCCATTTTATTTGACATCCAAAAAACAGGCCCGAGATGATCAAGACTACATGTCAAAACAACATAAACAATTAAAACTTTGACATTGCCTATGGGATTTGTGTTTTTGTCCTATCAAAAAAAGGCCTCCAAAGATCAAACATAAACACAGCTAGCTAGGTTCTTGTCCAAAATCAATGTGTAATTTAAATATATATATATTTCTTCTCAACAAGAGAAAAGACAACTTATATGCACCACAACCAAAGATAGCTGTTATAATAGTTAATCCTTCTCTTCAACACTTTCTTTATATTTACTCTGAAAGTTTCACCTCATAGTCCAGCCATTTGAAACCATCTCTTTAGCCTCAAATCTGAGAAATAGGGACCCAAAAAAACAGAGAAGAAAAATCCATTGTAGGTCATGCAATGGTAGCGTTGGCCTCTGGTGATCGCTGGAGGCTAATCTTTTGCCAGACAATTCTCACACTGGTTGTCACAATAGCAAGAAGCGAAGAAATATTTTTGGAGTGGCATGTTACGATTGACCTGACACTTAAACCAATGTCCGTGGATCAACCGGTATGATTTAGAACTTAGAATTATCTACATCATGTTAGGCCTCAAAAGAGAAATGTATTCAAATTTTCTTCGCGGTTTGCATGAGAAGTTAGATATATGCTTGTGTTGTCAATTAACAGGTTATTACAATAAATGGGATGTTCCCTGGACCTTTGATCAATTCAACAACTAATGATAATGTTCATGTCAATGTGTTCAACGATATGGATGAGCCTCTACTGATGACCTGGTGTGGACCTCTCTCTCTTTTCATTTTCTTCGTCATGAGTGTTCTCTTCTGATTTATGACCAATAAACATATCAGGGTAACTAATTGGGAAGAGTCGGTACTGTCACATTCTATTTTATTTTTGGAAGCATACTTTTTGGTAAATTTCTAGTTTATGACAAATTGACAAAGACTAGTTGGCAGGAAAATCAGATGTACACACAAACAGAGAAATGAACAAGTAATGTCATTGAGTTCTATGCCTTATAGATCTAAGAACTTTTTTTGGAGTGTCAATTGATAAAAACAAACAAAAACTAATAGTGTTACTGAAATTGTCACTTGTTATTTGAACAAGAACAAGAACAAATTACAGACTAACTATTGAGTTACAGGATGGGCTACTCCTAAAACTGCAAAGTTACTGCTACTCCTAGATTTCACATATTTGTCTATGAGTTTGAAGGTCCTTTTATATTAGCCATAAAAGGTATTTATAGATTGTAGGAAATAGCCACCACTAACCACCTACAACTTCCAAAAACCTCCATCTTCTTTTTTATGTCGTCACTTGTCATCCATCTCTCAATTTGCACGACTTCCATTGCAACTTCTCCTAACTTTCCTTCAACTTCTCCTAACCTCTAAGGAATTAAAGGAGTGCCAAGTGTCATACATAAAAACAACAAAAATAATAAATGTGGTCATAGTTTCTATTTAAAGATGGCATATGGTCTAAATCGACAAACTATAATTGACAGACCACAATTAACCAGATTGAATTTGGTCATAATCGATAAGTCACAATTAACAAGACTAGATTTGGCATAAATTGACAAGTCACAATCGACAAGAAAATTAATATATGGTGTAACCCCAATTCTTTTTTTTTTTTTTTATAACTCATGATATTCGAGTCAGCTTGCGTGTACCTCAACTAATCCCACCGTCCGCTAAAGTACTTAAATTCTTGAAGAGCCATATAATCATCACGCCAAATACAAGCATTATTTTCCAATTAATTAATCGCCACTTTACTAAGTTGATTAGCTATGTATTGTCATATTTTTCACTGTTGTACAACAATAGTTAAACTTGTTGCGTTGTAAGCCATTTCATCAAAATTAATTTTTGATGCGGACCACAAATCTGCTATAGCCGTTGGATAGCAAAAACCATAATATCCAGTGGCTTTAGAAAATTAAATTTTTTGACGTAATTAACAATGTCAAAAAATTCAAACTTAACAAACATGGATTGTTCATAATTTTCAACTATGTTTGGCTTAAAACCACGCCCCTTAATTCAATCTTCACCATCATTTTGTGATAAATTTTTTTATCAATTTTTGACAAAACAGGCTATTTTTTTTATTTTATTTTAGCCATTAATGACGTATAAAAATCTTTTATAATCATCTTATCTTCATTACTTGGTTCTCTAAAAATAGATATATTAACCCATTAAATCACATTATTTCATACCTTACAACTGTTTGCTCTCATTGAATCAAACAACGATGATAGTGACCCTCTTTTTGAAGTACTCCCACAACCCCCAAATAATCCACACCACTCATAATGTGAGCCCCACACATATATGAGTGAGTCCCACATATTATGAGTAGTGTGAATCACTTTGAAAGTTTTGAGGCCCTCCAAAAAGGGGTCTTACTCATTTTCCTTTGAAATAATGACAAAGAAGAAGCAAACTGACATATGCATGGAGATCAAAACTTGAGCCAAGCGGCTCAAAAATGAATGTAGCAAATGCTTTACCTTTTCAATTAAAGCAATTGATGGAAAACATGCTTCCATATGAAAAACAAAAAATGATGGCAACCATGAAAGCCATGTTTGATGGTTCCAATTTGATTCAAGGAAAATGAGTGAGATCTCCTTTTTGGAGGACCCCCACAACTCTCAAAGTGATGCACATTACTCATGATGTGTGAGACCCATTCGTGTATGTGTAAGGTCCACATTATGAGTGGTGTGGATCACTTTAGGGGTCTCTATCATTGTTGTATTTTCAAATTAGATTAGTTACACCAAGTGTGGCAATTTATGTTGGTAAAATTCTAGTTTAAGACAAATTGACTAGTTGATAGAAAAATCAGAAGTCCACACAAACTAAAAAATGAACAAGCAATATGGTTGAGTTCTATGCCTAAACAGATCTAAAGACTTCTTTGGCGTGTGTTGATTGATAGAAATAAACTAAAACTAATATTGTAGTACTGAAATTGTCACTTGTTATAAAGATTTGAACAAAAATAAGAAGAAAATGCACAAGAACAAGAACAAGAACAAATTACAAACTAACTGCTAAATTACAAGATGGGCAACTCCTAAGGCTAACTGCTAGTAAGATAAGTCACTGCTACTCCTAAATCTCACAGATTTGTTAATGAGTTTGAAGGTCCTTCTACATTAGCCATGAAAGGTATATATAGATTGTAAGAAATAACCACCACTAACCACCTACAACTTCCAAAAACCTCCGTCTTCTTTTTTATGTAGTCATCTGCCATCCATCTCTCAATTTGCATAACTTCCATTGCAACTTCTCCTAAGTTTTCCTTCAACTTCTCCTAACCTCTAAGGAATTAAAGGAGTGCCAAGTGTCCTACACAAAAACAATAACGACAACAACAACAATAATAAATGTGGTCATTGTTTCTCTTTAAATATGGTACATGATCTAAATCAACATACCATAATTGATAGGTCACAATTAATAAGATTAAATTTAATCATAATTGACAAGACTAAATTTGACCTAAATTGATAAGCTACGATCGACAAAAAAATATGATATATGTGGTAAATAAATACCATTCACGTCTAGTAATGCAAATCCATTATTCTCATTTATGAAACCATCCAAATCATCAAAAATTTTAAATGGCATTTGCACTGATTACTGATATATCTATTGTCTCTATTTTATTATATAGAGCAAAGCTTGAGTTAGTGTTGGCACAAAATGTCACAATTTTTATTTTATGAAAATGCCCTTGTAGTTAATAAAATATAGAGCAAAGCTTGAGTTAGTGTTGGCACAAAATGTCACAATTTTTATTTTATGAAAATGCCCTTGTGTAACTAACTACAAGAGCTTGAGTGTGGCTCATCGAGAACACTATTTATACAAAGAATCAAATTAATCAGATATCGATAATTATTTGATCAAATTATATTTTTTTAGGAAAAAAAATAGATAGCCTATCTTCAAAGTCATATAATCCATCTATATATATATATATATAAATGTGATCCGATCAATTAGCTATTGATGTTTGATCAATCTGATTTTTTTGTAAGAATAATATTTTCGACAGGCCTACAAGATTAATGATTTGGAACGTCAAAGTAAACTAGAGATGGACCTATGATGGGCCGGATTGAATCCCTCTAGTCCAATCACTAGGGATCTTGTCTCTTTTTTAATAGTGAGCGATAAAAGGACTATATTGAAATAATGGTAAATTACACTTACCTCCCCTAAGGTTTGAGAAAAATATGATTAACCTCACAAGTTACGGATTTCCCTCCTCTCCAGCAGTCCCCTCCTCCAGCACTATCCCGCACTTTTATCAGCAGAGAACGGATCCAATGGATTGAAAGCTGCCATGTCGTGGACAGAGAAGCGAGTCACATCCATGGATTGCTCTATTTTTGTATCTAACTCTAGCTCCGGTGGTTTGAGAGAGTTGGAATGTAACAAAGATGAAGGTCTGGTTTGGGAGGTAGAGCAATAATGATCCTGGAAGATTTATGTTCTAGTAGTAAACAAGTTCCATCCATTGAAATTCATCCTCAGCATTTGGAGTTTTTTTGGCCATGATGGTTTTGGGTCGATTCCAGTTAAAATGTTCGATTCAACAACCCAAAAAAATCAAAGTAATTTGTAAAAATGATGAAATTTGTGAAATGTTGAAACCAAATTATGAGAAGTTCTAGTTATAGAAATCTCTACTTCTCAACGAAATAGAGGCAGTCCTCTTCTTCCCTTGAGTTTGTGATTATGTGAGAAACATTATGTTGAAAAACGGCGTCGTTTTTTTGGTAAGGCACGCAACTCACTTCTCTGTCCACGACGTGGCAGCTTTCAATACATTGCATCCGTTCTCCGTTACGTGTCGTCATCTTGATAAAAGTGCAGGATAGTGCTGGAGTAGGGGACTGCTGGAGAGGAGGGAAATTCACAAGTTTGACATAATTAAAATAACTTTCTTTTTAATAAGATTAAAGTAATCAAAATACAAATAGTGGGTGAACATTACACTAAATGAAGATAAATATACATTGTAAAAGAAAAGGGATACCAACATCATTTTTTCATTTATATGAGCAATCTAATGAAAAATTATCTAAGTGTTATGTTAATTAAAATCTTAAAAACAAGTCGGTGTAATTATGTCAAAAATATGAGATTAATTGTATTTTCTTCAAATCTCACGAGAGAGTAATGTAATTTACCTTTGAAATAAAAGGCAACTTTTAAGTGTGCAAGTGCATATCATATGTACTTGTATAAATTCTCACAAATATACATAAGTTACTTCATAAAATCACGTAAATTTTCACATCATACTTAAATGAATCCATAAAAATTTGAGAAATTACAACTTATGTATATTTGTGAGAACTAGTGGTTAGGGCACGTGCGTTGTATGTGGTACGTGATTTTTTATTAACTGTTATATTGTAATTATGCATCTCTTAAATTAGTATGTGAAATGTATGTAAAGTATGGAGACTTGTATGGGTAAATGGATTTGTATCCAAAATACAACTAAATAATAAATGAATACATACTCGGCTGAAAATTTTTAATGATAGATGAGAAATTTTATAAATATAAACATTAATTTATAGTTAGATTATTGAGATTACAATATTATCTTAAATAATAAACAATAAACATGTCATTTAAATATATAGTATTACACAAATCTTTTTATATCAACTTCTCACTTCAATTTTTCATAATCCATACCTGTAATACAATTGAAGGTATTTAATTAATTACATAATTACATAATTTTATTTAATAGTTCATCTCATAATACAAATTTATTGAACCTACTATTGCATATTATTTGCATACTATCGGTATAAGAATGTATTAATATCAATATATAATATATTTTTATACATCAAAAGTTGTTAAGTCTCGTTTCATATGTCACAAATATCTTGCATGATGAAAAATATAACATTAGTCATTAGTATACAATTGTTGTGAAAAAAATAAATATAAAAAGTACAATTATTATCGTGATGTACGTGTTTTACAAAGTCTTAATTTGTTATTAAAAGTGTTTGTTGTAGACACTTATTTGTATGACATGTATGTACATATGTATTGAATATAAGTTGATAGGAGAACAATACATAATTTCACAGTTTTTTACTAGTAAATATAACTATATTACTAAAGCGATAAATATTAGAAAATTAAAATATTCGATGGTAATATAATATTATAGATTGACAATGTAGGAATAAAACAATATATATAAATTTCATTTATATTTATATATATATATATATATATAGAGACATTGACATATTTTAAATATCACAAAAGTAATAAGTGAAATTTTTTGCAACAATATAATAAGGTAACAATGAGAAATTAATTATTCATAATTAAATAGTTGATCATAATATAGATATTAGTGTTACATTTTTGTTTGCATGCACTATTTTTTAATTAGATTATTAAATTCACATAAAAATTGAAAGAAATTTGTGAATAATTTGTGTAAAATTAGAAATTGGTGAAGAAAGATTTTTAAAAAAAGAAGTTTATAGAGTTTGATTTGGTTTTTTTTATTTTAAATTTTGTTTTGAATTTTTTTATTTTCATTTTTTTTATAATATTTTTGACACTATTTTTTTTAATAACCCTTTTATTTTCTTTTTAAATTCACTTAATTTAAATACACTTAAATAATAATTTGTTGTGTATTCTTTTTAGAAAAACAACTAATAATAATAATAACAAAAAATATATAATAATAAAAATAGTACATGTTTGAATCTATAAATTTTTTATACCAATATTTTACTTTTTAATTCTATTGAGATTATTAGATATTATATTTTCATTTAAAATTATAATTTAAATATAAGCTATGAAGAAATTCTAATATCTTTAATTACCAAATATGAAAAATCAAAAATTAAAAAACAAGTTTAAAAAATAAAACCGATGAAAATGGTTCTTATTTAGAATTTTAATATCATACCTTGGTAATTAAAATATCATGTAAATATTACAGTTCATAAAATATAATTTAAATAAAAAGAAAGTATATGAAGATAACCTGTGAATTTTTTATATACATCACAAATTTCTATTTTAAAAAAGCATGTCCTTTTTCCTCTATTTAGATTCGAACGAATGCATATAACTTTAAGATTCAACTAAAATTATTTACAATGATTTGATTCATGATGGACAATAGTAAATATTATGTATATTAGTACAGACACAAAAAATAAGAAAAAGTAATTATTTTTTGTTGAGAAAATTATGCAAATAGTCTCTGTAGTTTATACGATGTGCCAATTTGGTCCCTATAGTTTCAATTTGCTCGATTTTGTCCCTTAATTTAACGGATTGTGTCATTTTAGTCCAATAAATAATGATTGTTAAGTTAATTTAACAGAAAGTAAAAAAATGTGTCAATTTGGTCCCTGTATTTTCCATAATATGTCAATTTAGTCCCTATCAAAATCGAAAAAATTATAACAACAGTGACCAAATTGACACATCGTGTAAAGTAAATTGACACATTATTTGACCTTCTGTTAAATTAACTTAACAACCGTTATTTATTAGATTAAAATGACATAATCCGTTAAATTAAGGAACAAAATCGACTAAATTGAAACTATAGGGATCAAATTGACATATCATGTAAACTACAGGGACTATTTACGTAATTTACCATTTTTTTGTTTTTTAATCATCATCAATGTACAAAATATGGAGACAACTTTTTTTTCTTTTTTTTTTTTTCTTTCCAAGAAGGGAGACGGTTTGTTTATATTTGTATAGGATTCTTGGAACTAATTTTCTCTAAATATATATATATATAGAAAATTAATGTCAAATCTTCCTTTTATAAGGCGTAAATTTTTTAAAAATAAAGAGATAGTTGATTTATATAGAACTCTACATGACTTTTAAAAAATATAGCAGATTTGATAGGATAAAATTGAGTTTTAAAAAAATAGAAAACATGGTAGACTTTTCACACTTTTATAATAGTATAATAATATATTCATGCGATTTTGTAAAGTAACTTATGTAAATTTATGAAAATTTATAACTGCATATGGTATGTATTTTGCACACTCAAACACTTCCCATAAATAAATATTGGAGTATGAAAGTTTAATTATTTGAATTAAAGCATAAGAAATAAAAGTAAAATTTGAATAAAACGGTTAAAAGTATAATTATTATTATTACTATTATTTTTTTTAAGTGGTGGTATAGTGGTGCAGGAATGGAATACAACAAAGAAAAAACTCATGGCAAGATGGTGTATCCGGTACCAACTGCCCGATCCAGGCCGGTATGAATTGGACTTACGTTTTCCAAACCAAGGACCAGATCGGCACCTTCTTCTACTTCCCTTCCCTCAACTTCCACAAGGCCGGTGGAGGCTTCGGCCCAATCCGAGTTAACAATCGGGCCATCATAGCTGTGCCATTCCCCAAGCCCGAAGCCGAGTTTGATCTTCTCATTGGTGATTGGTATCAACATAATTTCAAGGTAAAACTGTTATATGTCACCTAATGTTAGAAATACTATTTTTTGTTTTCTCCTCATTTTTTGTATATAGCTTGACATTGTGTAAAAAAAAAAATGCAGGATGTTAGGTCTAAGCTGAACACCACTGTTTGGGCCTATCACATGCCCCCTGATGGGATGCTTATGAATGGGAAAGGGCCATATCTGGACCCTTTTACCAAAGCCCATGAATCCTTCACTGTCACTCGAGGTAATTCAAAGTAAACAAGTATCTCATTTGTTCAATTCAGCATATTATATATATATATATATAGCTCTCGTTTGGGAAGTAGCTATTTTAATAGGTTATTTGGTTTTTTGGCTATTTTAGTAGACTATTTTGGTTTTTGTGTTTGGGAAGATGAGATGGATTTTATTTGAGTCGTTGTATTGAAAAATGTGTTGAAATGATGTTTGAAATTAGAATGACAAATTTGTCTCTAAAAATATTTTTTTTTAAATTGCTGTCAAGGGGTAAAATTGTAATTTATGCACTGATGGGACAATTTCTGCAGCTGACAGTGTAGACTGTGCCTACACTGCCGGCTATGCAGTTTTTTTTTTGAAAAAGCTTGCAACAGTGAGCTTTTTGGCTAAATTTTCATTTTAGGCTATAATAGCCTCTTTAGCCACTTCCCAAACAGCGCCTATATTTCTTTTGTTGGAAATGAGATAGGGAAAGGGGATCCTAGTGTTTGAACTAGGTTGAGTATAGTTGACATTAAAATTGTGTTTGAATCATAAATTTGAGTAAATATTTTTAAAAAAAATAGAAAAAGAATGTGAGAGAAGTAGAAAAAAAAATTAACTTATATTTTACTAACATTCTTTTTTTAAAATTTTTATTTAAATTTATAATTCAAATACAATCTTTAGCCGTTATCCAATGCAAAGTATATGAGGCTATATGGATAAGTGCTTTTCTTCAATGATATTTAGGAGCAATTACAATGCAGTGGTACTTTCAAAATTTAATTGCTAAACCAAACCAAACCAAACCAAGTCTTAAGTCCCATCAAATAGGGTCGGCTACATGAATCCTTCTTCTCCACGCGGCCCTATCAAAGGCCATTTCATTAGTCAAATTAAGTAGATTCATATCTCTATTTAAAATGCTAGTCAACATTAATCTAGGCCTACCCCGTCCTCTAACACTTCCATCTACCGTTACAGCATCGCATTTCTTCACTACTGCCTCTGTTGGTCTCCGTTGAATATGATCAAACCATTTCAAACGATTCTCTCTCAACTTATCTTCTATCGGTGCTACTCCTACCCATTCCTGAATACACTCATTTATATTCCTGTCTTGTCTAGTCTTACCACACATCCACCTTAGCATCCTCATCTCAGCCACACTCATCTTATCTACATGTTGTTTCTTGATTGCCCAACACTCCGTCCCATACAACATAGCTGGTCTAATAGTCGTTCTATAAAACTTATATTTTAGTCTAGTGGGTATTCGTTTATCGCACAATACCCCAGACGCACTTCTCCACTTACACCATCCCGCCTTAATCCTATAGGCCACATCTGCATCAATCTCTCCTGCTGTTGTGATAATCGACCCTAAATAACGAAAATGTTCACTCTTAGGCAATTCTTGGTTCTCAATCTTCACTTCTCCTCTGCTTTCATTGTTACTGTTACTAAATTTACACTCCATGTATTCTGTCTTAGTTCTGCTTATCCGGAATCCTTTAGATTCAAGAGTTTTTCTCGAAATCTCTAACTTTGTGTTAACCCCTTCTCTAGTCTCATCCACTAGCACAATATCATCTGCAAAAAGCATGCACGATGGCACATCATCCTGAATATTTATCGTCAACTCGTTCATAACTAAAGCAAAAAGATAAGGACTTAAGGTAGATCCTTGGTGTAACCCTACAGTGATAGAAACTTCATTTGTCTCTCCAACTGGCGATCTAATAGTGGTCACCACCCCTTCATACATGTCCCTAATCACGTCAATGTAACCTTTTGCCACCCATTTCTTCTCTAACACCCACCATATTATATCCCGGGGCACTCTGTCATATGCTTTCTCAAGGTCGATAAACACCATATGAATGTCTCTTTTCTTTTCTTTATACTTTTCTATTACTCTCTTCAAAAGATAGATCGCTTCCATTGTTGACCTACTAGGCATAAACCCAAATTAATTCTCTGACACCTCTGTTATATCTCGCAATCGGCGTTCCATCACCCTCTCCCACACTTTCATTATATGACACATTAGCTTGATTCCTCTATAGTTGTTACAATCTAGACATCACCTTTATTCTTATAGATTGGCACTAAAATACTCTTCCTCCACTCATCTGGCATGTTCCTAATCAACAAAATTTTGTTAAACAACCTAGCCAACCAACCAACTCCCTGTTTACCCAAACGCTTCCAAACTTCAATGGGGATATCATCGGGTCCTAAAGCCTTATTTGATTTCATCTTCTTAAGTGCAATTTCCACTTCAAAGTTCATAATCCTGTGATAAAACCTATAGTCTTGGTTTATCGTATTACTGGCTATTTCTTCTCTTATTGTCGTACCTCCATGTTTCTCATTTAATAGTTTCTCAAAATAATTCTTCCATCTTTCCTTAATCTCATCATCCTTCATCAATACCTTAGAATTCTCACTCTTGATGCACTTTACTTGATTAAAATCTCTTGTTTTCCTCTCCCGTATCTTAGCAAGTTTGTATGCCCTCTTCTCTCCCTCCTTACTATCTAGTCTAGTGTATAGGTCATCATATACTTTCAACTTGGTCTCTTTCACTACTTTCTTGACCTCCTTATTAGCCAATCTATATCTCTTAAAGCTTTTCTCAGTTCTATCATTCTGTCACTTTTTAAAGCACTCTTTTTTTGCCTTAACTACTGCTTGAACCTCTTCCCTCCACCATCAAGTTTCCCTAAAGCTGGGTCCCGTTCCTTTCGACTCTCTAAGCACTTCCCTTGAGATTCTCCTCATACAATTGGCCATCGAGTTCCACATAGTGTTAACATCACCTTCTAAGTCCCAAGTACCTTCTTTATCCATTCGATTCTTAAATATTTCTAGTTTATCCCCTTTTGGGTCCCACCATCTCGTCCTACGACGCCCACCATCCTTCTTAGCTTGGTATTGCCCTCTAAAACATAAATCTAGTACAAAAATCTTATGTTGAGAGACCAGACTCTCTCCAGGAATCACCTTATAATCATTGCATTTTAGGCGGTCCACTTTTCTCAAAAAGAAGTAATCTATTTGACTCTTAACTAATCCACTCTTAAAGGTTATCAAATGCGGCTTACTCTTCTTATACATAGTATTGGCCACCACCAAGTCAGAAGCCAACGCAAAATCTAAGATACTCTCTCCAGCCTCATTTCTGTCACCAAAACCGTATCCACCATGCACCCTTTCATAACCTAATTTATCTATGCCCACATGGCCATTAAAATCTCTACCTATAACCAGGTTCTCTCCTACGGGTATCTCCTGTAAGATCTCATCCATTTGCTCCCAAAAATCCCTTTTAGTCTGATCATCTAACCCTACTTGAGGGGCGTATGCGCTAATAATGTTCACTATATTTCCTCCAATAACTAGTTTAACTAGCATAGTCCTATCTCATTTCCTAGTGACCGCCACTACACTTTCCACAAGACCCTTGGCAATTATGATTCCTACCTCATTCCTGTGTCTATCCTTACCACTATAATATAGTTTAAAATCGGTATCCTCAATATCCATAGCTTTCTCTTCCGTCCACTTAGTTTCTTGTATGCAAGCTATACTAACTCTCCTCCTAATCATAACATCTACCAATTCCATCGTCTTACCAGTTAAGGTTCCTATGTTCCAAGTGGCTACCCTAAACCTATAGTCTTGGACTAGCTTCTTTACCCGCGCTCGTCTAGAAAAGCGTGGAAACCTTTGCCCATTTTTCACCGCACCCAGGCGTCGATGCGGCGCCCCTTGCTCACTTTTCAAAACACCCGGAGGCAGGCGCAACGCGTCACTTGAGGGAAACGACCTAGCATTTAAACGATTCAAAGTAGGATTCATTTTCATAAGGGATCCGAGCGGCTTTTTTACGTGTTGGCTGTCGGCTACCTAACACACAACCCTCCTCCTTAACTTGGGCTTGAGACCGGTGGAGTTGTTAACAACCCCGGCGGAGTTACTTTCAAAATTTAATTACTAATCAATGAAAAAACTTATGGTTTTATAGTTTAATGTATATATAGGTTATCACTAATTTAAAAATATTTTTACAAATCCACACTAAACTGAGATTTCCTTAATATTTATAACACCTAATCCTTAAATATTGTCTCGTTCAGATTTTTTTTATTCATTTTTAATTTAAATTTTTTTTTTTGTTTAAATGTGCAGGAAAGACATATAGATTTAGGATAGCAAACGTGGGGATAGCATGGAGCATAAACTTCAGGATACAAAAGCATCAAATGGTGGTGGTTGAAACAGAGGGATCATACACCAATCAAATAACATTAGATTCTCTGGATGTGCATGTTGGGCAGTCTTACTCTGTTCTCGTCACAGCAAATCAAGAAGCTGCAGATTATTACATAGTGGCAAGTCCTAAATTGTCTAATGCCACTGATAATAGCAGTCTTGTGGGAAGAGCAGTACTACACTACGATAACTCCACAACAACTCCCAATGGACCTCTCCCAAAAGGTCCCGATCCATTTGACCTTGACTTCTCACTCAATCAAGCTAAATCCATAAGGTAAATAAACAACAATATTATGAATCAAGACTTAATTATTCAAAAAAATATTTATAATTATTATTTTGTAATTCAGATTTATTCTACATATTATGAATCACATTATACGAATTTAATCTCTACCACACAATCACTCAGTTAGAAAATTTTGGGTGGTTTTGTCTGAGATTTTCAGAATTTTTCGATAATTAATGTTTATAAAATAAGTTAATCAATGTAATCTTAGTTTTTCAAAAAAAAAGATTTAGGGGAAATTAAAGAAAACCCCAGTTTTAAATTAAATCTTAGATTTTTAATTTTATTAAATTTAACTCTATATCTTTGCCCTTGTGTCATTGCATATACTACCTATGTTTGGGGAGCCTTTGGATAATGATTTTATTTTAGTTAGAATTTTGAATACATATATATATATATAATGATTTTATTTTAGTTAGAATTTTGAATACATATATATATATATATTGAACGAGAATTTTGAATAGATTATTTATTTAGTTATTTGTCTTTTAGGCAATGAGATTTTATTTATTTTTTATCATTTTTTCTCATTAAAGTGTCTCTACTCAAATGATAATTTTTATATAGAAAATAATATATAAGTCCACTTTCTAAACTTATTTTTTAAATTCAATGATGTATAAGTGATATGATTAATTAATAATTAGAGAAGATAAGAAAAAGAGTATTGTCTTAGATATCCTAATAAGAAATGATAAAAAAATAAATAATCTCCCATAAAAATGTATTGTTATACAAGTCTAAAAATTAGACTCAATATTTAAGTCCAATAACACTACGCCAAAATTGGGCTTTAGCGGCGGGTTTTTTCCGCCGTTAAAGGCTGTAAAACCGCGGTATTAACGGCGGTTTCGTTACCGCCGTTTATGCGTGTGTCGGAAAAAGTGAAACCGTCGTAAAAAGGCAAATTACCGTCGTTAAAAGTCGACAAAAAACGGTGGTAATATAGGACCAAAAACGACGGTTTTTTACCGCCGTAAATAGGTTCAAATTTTTCAAAAAATAATTCTTTCTTCTTGCACTCCCCAAGTTTTGAACCCAAGACCTCTCATCCACCAACACCAACCACTCTACCACAACCACTCTTCATGAAATATATTCCCTAAATAAATATTTAAACATTACTTTTACTTTATTGTAGATGGTTTCGCCGGAGCTCGCCGGAGTTTCGCCGGAGCACGTCGGAGTTTCGCCGAAGCTCCGCCGGCAAAGACCGCCGTCATTAACGGCGGTAATGATTGGGCATTAGCAGCGGTTTTGTTACCGCCGTTAAAAGTTGGTTTCATTACCGTCGTTAAAGACACTTTTAGTGGCGGTTTTTTCAACGGCGGTAATGAAACCGTCGTTAATGATACATTAATGGCGGTATTAACGGCGGTTTTCGTTACCGCCGTTAATAGTACCTTTAACGGCGGTTTTCATTATCGCCGTTAAAAAAATCGCCGTTAATGCCCTGTTTTGGCGTAGTGTAATGTGACAATCAATTAGGATATCTAAGGTAATACTATTTCTCATATTTTCTATAATTATTAACTAATCATATCGCTTATACATCATTGAGTTTAGAAAATAAGTTTAGAAAGTGGACTTATATATTATGTGGGAGATGTTACAATGTGCACCATTAAAAAAGTGCATATGATATAACTTTTTTACAAAATTTCATAACTTGAACATAAAATGTTATAATTTTTTCACTACAAAAGTCATAACTTTTTTTCAGTATAAAATGTCATAACAAAAACACAAAGTGTCATAACATTATTATTCCTAATTTTACGGTGTACATCATAAATTTATTATTCATAACTTTACCACGAAATATCACAGCATATACTACAAATAATCATAACTTTTAGCACAAAAAAATCATAATTTTCTTACAATGTGTTCCATTTAAAAAAGTGCACGTAGTAGATTTCTCTCATTTTTTTATATTTTATGCCTACTTGATAAAGACGGTTTTTCTTCAGTCTTTATAATTGAGGATCTTTAGACAAAGGGGTTTCTTTTCATTGGGTCTTGGCATAAAAATAATAATAATTAATTAATTAATTAATTAAAAAAATAAAAATTTGGAAACTTTAGGCAAGGGAAAATATATATATAAAGCTTTTGGACAAAAAAAATTAAAATAAGGCTCAAAGTCATTGTTTGAGTGGCTCTATCCTGGAGCCACCGTAGGATTAACATTGGCACGATTAGAAAATTATAGAATTTTTAGTTAATAAAATAAAAAGAGCTTTAGGAACACATAAAATTTTCACAAAATAAAAAATGACACAAAATATGAGACATAGATGTGGTGCCAACATAGATATAGTCCATACATGGGGTTTATTTTTTTGTCTTACATTTATGTCATATTCTGTGAACAACTTGTAACATCTAATAAAGATTAATCGAGTAACCTCAGTTAGCCACCCCTATACACTTCTATATGAAAGATTAGAGGATCAATCATGACTAAGGCCCCGTTTGGGAAGCGACCAGTTTAATCAAAAAGTTACTAAAAAAGTCAAAAAGCCAACAATCTATACCAAAAAGTCAAAGATTCTCCTTTCTCTCTACCTTTTACACATCTTTTCGTAAAAAGTCAAAAAATCATCCCAAACATACTAGTTTTTTTTCATCATATTTTAGCCAAAAAGTCAAAAGTTACTAAAAAAATACTGTTCCCAAACGAGGCCTAAATGTAAAAATCGATAAATTCTTGTGTAATTTATTTGTTTCTTATTTTGGATTCTTCTCTATGTACAGATGGAACTTGACTGCAGGTGCCGCCAGGCCAAACCCTCAAGGAACATTTAACGTATCAAACGTGACACTATCACAAACCTTCATACTACAAGGATCAATAATTGATATCAATGGTGTTCCACGCTACACCCTCAACAATGTGTCTTACACTACCCCAGATACGCCACTCAAATTGGCTGACAACTTCATCAATGGCTCTGACGTCTACAATCTCGATGAATTTCCTGTTAATTCTTCCAATCCAGTTGCCGTTGATGGAACTTTTGTTGCCACCGGAAACCACAAGGGGTGGCTGGAAATTGTGTTCAAGAATGATTTGAATGTAATGGACTCTTGGCATTTGGATGGGTTCGGCTTCTATGTTGTTGGGTATGCATATATCACAATCATTAGTCTATTTACTTTGTTTTAATTGAAAATTGTTCCTAGGATATGACATCCTCATTTTTAATGTGCATTCTCCTTGTCTCAAGCTTTCTCCCTATATAGGATTCTTCGCATCAAAACCCTATCTATAGTTCCAAAACAATCATTGTACAGGGGAGAAATATTCATTGCTCCTGTACTCCTTGCGACCAAGTTTGTGTTACTCCGAAAGGCGTCGTGTCGTACTACTTGAAAGCACAACTCAGGTGAGCTAACAGGCGAGTGTTGTGCTGGTAAACCCTTCCGACAGTCAAGTTAGCACCCAAAGAAGATCAAAGGAATGTAGAGAGAGTAAGAGTGAGAGTGAGAAATTGTAGACATTTTCCCCAGTCGGGTTGTGCTCCTTATGTAGGCCGTTCCCTTGTTATCCAATATTGTGTGCGCACTATTTCCTTCATCCTTTGCTAGACATGTGGATGTACTGTCCTTTCCTTTCCTTACACGTGTGCGCGTCAATATTGCCAAACGATATTGACATGTACTTTGAGCGGGTTCTCTCCCTTACACTCTATTGGGTCACATGGTGTACGGGTACCGAGCTATCCTTGATAGAACCAACTCCAACTGGCCTAATTCAGACCAATCTTCCAGACCCAACTGGGTTTGGTTTACTTGCTCCCAGAGGTCTTTACTAGCCCGACTCTCTGTGTTCAACCCAGTCAAACTCTGTTTGTTTGTTGCCCCGGTCAAACTCCACGCGAACCCTCAGCTTGATTGAAATTCTATGCCCGGCCAAGAGTCATGCCCTCATTTCACTTTAGCCCATCATCGAGGTGCGTGCTTAGCTCGACCTACGACTCGAGCTCATTAACCAGCTGAGCCCAACACTACAGATTCATCTAGCACGGTTGTGCGGTCATAAATGAATGTCCATATGAGATTTAGGTCGGTCCATTTGTTCGGCAGAAATCCCCCCCACTCATAGTCAATGATCTTGTTTCAAGAATTTTACATATTACGTTTCTCATATGATTCAATGATTATGACTATTTTGAGATAAAAAAATTTGGATACAGGGGATCCTTAACCCCTTCTCTTTAGCAACAGATGGCAAATTATGATTGTGTTTTAATTATAAATGTGTTGATAGATTTGTAGAAAAAAAATGAAAAAAGAATAAAAAAGTGTTTGAAATGTAATTTTTTTTCACCACTTTTCCTTTTCTCAAATTTGTACATGAATTAAAGATCTAAATACAACATGATGGAATTTTTAATTTGGGGATGCCACTCCAATTGTTTGGGAGAGAAAAATGCTGTACAATTTTTTCTTAGTCACTAATGTGACATGTAGTAATAAAATTTTGATATATTTAAAACAAAACAAGATGCATTATAATAAATCATAAATATTAGGTTTGTGAGTGAAATAATTTATAAGATTTGTTAGTTTATATAGTATTACTCTTTAAGAGGAGAATTGAGACATAGGAACATGAATGCTATGGATTAGTAACCAAAATTTTTGTAAAACAAATAGATCTTCTGAATCTAAATGAGCATGTAGATCTTGTAAGGTATATTGTTGGGTTGTGAAACATAATATAAAACTAGCTAGTAAACACTAGTGTCCATGTTCATGTCTGTGATCACTAGGTTTGGCCATGGAAAATGGACACCTGAATTGCGTTCTACATACAATCTTTACGACCCTGTCGTTCGCTCTACTGCTCAGGTGATCAATCATTTCCTCTCTCTGTCTGTCTGTCTGTCTCTCTCTCTCTCTCTCTCTCTCTCTCTCTCTCTCTAAGGTTCTTGTTTGGTGTGGATATGATCTCAGGTGTATCCAGGTAGGTGGACAGCAGTGTATGCATACCTTGACAATCCAGGAATGTGGAATTTGAGATCACAACACTTGAAAAATTGGTACTTGGGCCAAGAGCTCTATGTGAGAGTCTATGATGCCGATCCTGACCCTGCCAAAGAGCGACCACCCCCGGAAAACCTACTTTTTTGTGGTTAGTAACTATATGATCAGATTACATTTCTTATCAAGTTATTCTCATGTACGTAGCCAATATCATCTATTCACTAACAACTGTGTACGGTATTGGTGTTTGATTTTGATGATAACAAATTGTTTTTCATGATTTCATTTTGTAGGAAAGGTTGATCCTCCTCCACCTCCTCCACCTAGTCCTCCACCACCTCCAATGCCAAACCCAATTCCGGCACCACCACCACGGACTAGTAGTGCACTAGCTCCAAAAATAGCATGGTGATAATGATCAGAATGTTCATGCAACCATAATAATGATAATTATTATTATTATTATTATTATTATTACTCATGTTTTGTTCTTTTGTATGTTGGCAGGGCTCATTTGGTCATGGTGATCTGCACTGTTTTGATTCCTCAAATTGGACTTAACAACTATGATTGAGAGACACTGAAGATTACTAGTAAATGAAGGGTGCATGTTACAGTATGAATTTTTTTGTCAATTTTTCAATTTAGTGTAAATGAGACATTCACAAGAGACTTTATGAACTATATGATAAAAATCTGTGATTTTTCTGTGGCTTATTTTTTTTCTCCCTAGCTAAACTGTTTTTAAAATAGTGCTTTAGTAGATAGCTAGTTGCATTACTTCTGTTGGATTGATTTTTATAGATTTAATTATGCTTTTACTCTTTTGCATGTTGGTAGATGTCATTTCGTCTTGGTAAAGTGAGATTTTGGTAGAACTGCGATCATTAAAATGAGATTTTAATAAAAGTATTAAGGTGTTTGTGAGATAATAAAAATGTCGCATATGTTTCAAATGACAAATTTTGTCAACTTTAAACGGTAGATAGATGGAACGGTAAAGATTGTACCTTGACTTTAAGTGTAATGTGTTGATTGTTACAATTAAAAGTAAAGGGCCTAAAGTGAGATTTTGACGAAAATATAAGGGTAGTAATTTATCCTTCTTCAAAATTGTATTTGCTTGACTCAAGGGAAATTCTATTATACACTCCCTACCATATGCATCCCTAAGTTACAGTAATTTTTGTACGCTGATAGAATATGCCATGTGATACCTTCTACTATAGTGATTGACTTTGACAGTAGGGTCCACTGCGTTTGTGTCGGGTGTTTGGAGAACTATAGGGGACATATACATTTGTGATTGGTAGAAGACAATGTCCTGTGATATCCTATTAGTATACCAAATTTCTCCTTGAGTTATGTCATTTTCTTCTTAGTTATGATTAATTTTCTTTTTTCGTAATGACCTTGTTTTAGTTATGACTCTTGAGATCTTTAGTTATACCTCATGTGTTGTTTAGTTATAATTTTTTTTTTAATTTTAATTATGACTCAAAAAATATAAAATTATTTCTTTTTCTTTTTTAATTATAAAATGTATACCAAAGTCTTTTCCTCGACTCAAAAGCATGAACTTCAATAAAAATCCCACTCTATATAAATGCTTCTTGCTTTCACAACTGCATGGTGTAATTTTCATTTTAATTTATTGAAGTTTTTCACCATTGGTTATATCATTCTACCATTTATACCTACTTCTCCAATACTTGGTCCAATGAATATAGACTTAATAAAATCATGAAAAAAATATTAGATGCTTCATAAATTATTAAATTATTTTACAAATACTCCCATTTAGAAAAATAATTTTCCAGAGTTAGTAGAGAGTTAGTAGACTTCATCTTCTCATTCTTTATCATCAGTCGAGAGTAAGGTTTTAAATATTAGTTGTAACATATCTTATTAACTGTTATGTATCGAGATTTTAGACTTTTTTATACTAATATTCATCAATATATCGACCAATACTGTCTGATTCTATTTTATTTTATTATTTTTTTTTATCAACAAAAAGAGAGATTATTGATGGTAAAATAGCATAATACAAGGATTGCATCAGTAAGGGTGAAGGCAGGACTGCATCATAGCAAGACCCTCTCAATTATAACTACATTAGCACTGAAGGGCAAGTCCAATCATATGCAAGCACAACACTACAAGTTGGTGAGAAACTAACAAAAACTAAGATAAATGGTAGAGCAAACAAACAGAGTAACAACTTAGCACCTAAAATAAATAGAGTAACAACATCATGCCATGTGTGATTCTATTTGATATTGACCTATATATGATCATCTTGCTAATATCGATACGAATTTTGATACCATTTTTTAAAACTATGGTCAAGAGAAAGATACTTGATTGTTAGCTAAACATGAGAACTAATATTGGCACTAAAATTCAGATCGTTGCTATATTTGCAAAGAAGAAGGGACATTATGCTATATGTTATCTCTAAAAAAGCCAACTATAGTCTTATAATTAGATATTAGAGACTCAACTTTCTGATACCACTGTATTGAAAAATGATTATTTAAGTTTGTGACAAACTTGTGAAGATGAAGTTGTTATAAGATTGGATTTAGCTTTAAACTTCTGGGATTTACAAGCTGAAGGAAGGACTCTTCAGGATTCTGAGATTAAAAGAATGGCAGAAGTTAGAAGTTTAACATGGGATCTGAGCAAGAAAAAGGAATGGTTGTGGCATCAAAAATCTAGAATGATATGGGCTGAAAATGGAGATAAAAATACTAGGTTATTTCATATAATGGCAAGTAAAAGGCAGAGGAAAAACTAGTTGAACTCAGTTAATGAGAATGGAGTACTGCCTGAGTAGCCAAAGATGATTAAGCAGGCAGTGGTAAGTCATTTCAGTCAGTTATTCAATGGAGGATGGAGGTGTAGACCAAAGTTGTTAGGTGTTTTTGCCTCAATTAGTCAAACAGATTCAACTGAATTACTGGAGGCAAATTTTCTAGAGAATGAAATATGGGAAACAATTAAAGATTGCAATGGTAACAAAGCTCTAGGGCCGGATGGTTTTAATCTAAAATGTATTCAAAAATGTTGGGCCATCATGAAATGGGAGATTGTGCAAATGATGTCTGAGTTCCACTCTAATGGTAAGTTGGCCAAAGGAGTGAATAGTTATTCATTTCTTTAATTCCCAATAAGGACAATCCAATGGGGTTGAGTGACTATAGGCCAATCAGTTTGGTTAGCTTAATGTATAAAATAATAGGTAACGTCTTATCAAGAAGGTTGAAACAAGCTTTACCCAAGATCATTAGTGAAGTTCAAACGACTTTTCTAAGTGGAAGATACATTTTAGATGGGGTACTAATTTCCAATGAAGTGGTGGATTGGTGGAGAAGGTCAAAAAAGAAAGGAATCATCCTCAAGCTGGACTTTGAAAAGGCATAGGACTCAGTAAATTGGGAGTTCTTGTAACAACCCTCACCTTGTCTTAGTCATGCTTACATGCAATTGCATGATCTTTGTCTTGCTTAAACTTGCATCTGCAGACCTTGATTTGTTTTAGCTAAGTGTTGCTTATATGCTTTGTTCCTTGCTTAGTGTGTGTTAAGCCGAGGTCATCTTAAGCCTAGGTCACACCTTTGAACCTCTTACACCTAGGACCATTTTGGAATCCACTTTGGTTGACCTCCACCTTCACCCTGGCATATTGGCCGAGATGTCATCATCTAGGCCGAGGTGTGCATCACCTAGGCCAAGATGTGTATCATCCAGGTGTAGACGTCCCTGAACGTTCCGGGGAAATCCCGTTTTGTTCATTGGGCTCACCACAGTTCGGACTCAATGTGACGGTTCTTAATCTGATCTCGCAAAGTGCAATACGAGATTGATAAATCACCAAAGAGTCCAAATCCGGCAAATCATTTTGAAAAACTGATTTTTAGAAAGAAGTGCCAAACATGGACTGCTTTGCTAGATACAGAGTCGCCACCTAAATATTTTATTTTTGGAGAATTTAGGAAACCCTGACTCGTGCCTAAGGCCACGTGTCCGTCATCACCAAAATTGCCTCGGCTCGGGAACTTGGGTACGATTGGGGAAGGTCATGCAATGAGCACCCCCGCTCGCCCGATCAAAGATCGGCCATTACTAAACATGATATCGAGTTTTTGAAAACACATGCGTTCTTATTCCGGTTTATTAGCCTAGGATTACTATGTGATGCACACAGCATACAAGTATAGACTAGATCGCCTGAGTTGGAACAAAACATTTCATGTTTGTTTATTTGAAAATGGTTTGATAGTGCTACTCGCAAGTAGGCTAAGACGTGGATTTGCCACCCTCAAGTGGGCTTAGAAAACAGGGTGATTTGCCACTCTCAAGTGGGCCTAAAACTCGCAATCGATGAATTGTTCCAATTCAAGTAATCCAACCTTCACCCACAGGCATTCAGGCAGGTATATCGCATAATCAGTTAGCCTCATGGCAAGCATGCTATCATGGCAGTCACTCACACACATGCAAGGATGCTAAAGCATAAACACTTACTGAGTACTCCGAGCCAAAGAAAGAAGCTAATTAGAAATCATGCATGAATCCTAACTATGCTGAGATGCCTAATGCAACACATGCAGAATGTAACTAAGATAGGCTCGGCTATTCTAAAATGGCATATGAGATGTTACAAATAACATGTATTCAACTTGGAATTGAAATACAATGCAGTTAGCATGATGCGCCGAGCTCGGTGCATGCAAGACAGATAAATAGATGCAATCATGAGAGCATAAGGATACTAATTGAAACATGCCCTAAAACTAACCATCATAAGCTGGTAAATAAAAGGGAGAAAGACGTAGGGTTGGAAGACATGCATCACACATACGCACACTTATTACAACAGTTGGCCCTCTCGACGGAGGGTCCGAATAAATAATACAACACCAACTAGCTAATCTAAGCTAATCTAATTAAGCTAGTTATTACACAACCAAAATGAATAATAAATTACAGTTAATTATTACACAACTCTAATTAATTAACAAACTAATTAAGTAAGCAATTACACTAGCATGCAAACTACATGAATGTGGACTGTCTTAGCTCTGCCTTGAATGATAAAGGATGCATGCATGCTCGAGTCGCCTTGTCGGGAAATCCATCGGGGGGCCCCGGCATGCCTTTGTTTGCAATTGATTTCAGAAATTTGCACAAAGCTTCAGAGAGATGAAACTCCACCCCAGGAAACTGTGGGAAGGCTGCCGACCAGCTTATAAGCATGGGAGACCAACTACCGACCACCTTTTGTGGTGGAAACCAAAGAAGGTAGTCGGCCTGCAAGAAAACCTGGTCAGCCGACCAGTTTCTTCTCCTAGATTTTGTTTTTCTGCAACAAAGGGAAAGAGAGAGGCACGACAAGGTATTTGCAACACATGTGTGCATGACCACTCTCCCCGTCATTGCATAAGCTCTAGGGAGTGTAGTCCTCGACCCTTGGGCCACCGGTCGCGCATCTCGATGCATGATGGCCGATGAGTCGAATTGCACGACTCAATATGAAATGAATGCACATACAAGCACCTAAAGCCAACAACTCCGTCATGGGTAGTCAAGAGTGTCGGTGACCGGGAATCGAGGCATGTTTCGTCACTTTGAGTACGAAACGTCCCTCGTTTCCTGTGTTCGGACTAACTCCTATTCTGAACACAATGCAACAAACAATTGCATGCACAATGCGGCTTTAAGTATG